GAGGTGAACTTGCAGCTGCCAGTAGCCATCTTTTCCTATGGAGCCTATGGAGAAAGTCTGTCTGTTGCAAGAGAGAATAAGGAATAGAAACCTTTAAGAAACCTTAGAAATGAAAAAAGAGAGCGCTAATAGTATCCTCGAATCCCATGAATCGGGTGTTTGGAACCCCCTCTGCCCTTGTACCTCTCAGTTATATGAGCCAATAAATTCCTTTTTGTTTTAAGCTACTTTGAGTTTAGTTTCTGCTACATATAACCGAAGAGGTGCAGACCAATGCAAACTTCAAAATCACGAGTTCAAGCATCACACTCTTGTACAACTTGTCTTTCCTGCGAGTTTGTTCAACGGTGTCTTCTCAGGGCACCCGGTTTTCTACCAACTCCTCCACTCTTTCCATATGCATTAGTCCTCTCCTGCCTTCGCTTTCCTCCCTTTGTAACTTAGATTTATGGTTCACCATTTCAAAAACTCCTTGGCCTCCATTTGGCAAAAATTCAATCCATGGGGCCTATCTACCTGTTTTCTCCATGCCTGAACATGAGCAATTAAATAGCAGTAGAGAAAAAAATTACACAAAGGAAAGGTTGATTTCACCTCCAGTTCATGACTAGACCTCATATGGGATCCAGGATGGTCAGCAATCCTATACAATTCTCTGGTTGGCTTTCTCTCGTGTTCCCTAATGGTAATATCATCTCTTCCCCACTCAATCTCAGTTGATGACCTTTGCTTCACAGACAAAATGGAACCCATTCTCTATTAATTCTCTTCACATAATGAAAGAGTTGTCCTTCCTATTTTAAGCCCAATTCATCTACCTGAGACTTGGATCTCATCCCCTCCCATCTTGTCAAAAATCTGCACTATCAATTTGCCTTTCCCTAGCCTGTATCTCTAACTTCACTAGGCTAGATAGCTCTGTTTGCCTCTCCAGAGCCACTTCTTATCCTTCTCTACCCTGCCTTTGCTGGGGGAGGTGAAGTCTGTATGAACTGTATCAGCAGGTGATTTTGCCTTTTGTTCTCTTGGGGGTGGGGGGAGGGTTGGCCAATGGGAAGCCCCAGCAGGAGATCTGAGAGAGGGAGGAGCCTGAGATAGGAGCATATATTTCTCTGACATCTTCACCTCAAAGTCTTCTTGGGTTGGCTGTTCCTTTTGAGCAAAGTTATTGTCCTCTCAAGAGAGCCTTCTCCTTCTGAGTTCTGGTAATTTCTCCCTTCCCTCATCCCTTTAAATCTTAGGTCACTGTTCTGCTGCTTCTTGCCCCAGGGTACCTTACAATCACTTGTTGGTTCCCTATATTATAACTACACCATTGTACATAGTCCCTTCTTCAAATGATCCCAAAGTATTTTGTCTGTTTCCTTCTGACTGACACAAGGTAAATCTTACACTCTCCCTCTCTAATGAATTCTCATCAACATATAAACATGCTCAAGCAGCCTAGCCTCACAGATCTTTAATCTTGACCTGTTATCTACTTTTTCTATCCTACACTCTTGATCACATCCCAGAGCTTGTCATCAATTGGAATGGTTCCATCTCTGAAATCTTAAACTCTAGTATCTGAGCATAATCTCCTAACCTTATCAATATATATTTCATAATTGCATCAAAAGCACTAAAGCCCTTGACTCCTACACCCAACCACCAATTTCTCAGTCTCCTCTTCTCCTCATTCCCTCCACCAGGCAGTTTAAAAACAATGATACATTTTTCTTTCAATCTCTTTCTTGCTTAATACCCTCAATTGTATGTCTCTTCATTCTTCTACATACCAGCCTGGAGTAATCCCAGTCCTGAGTCAATCCAACTGTCCACCTTGTCTACCCTCTTCCTAGCACCCATGGAGAGGAACATGTATTTGTACATATGGGTGCCACTATTCTTTTTTTTTTTTTAAAGATTTATTTATTTATTTGAGAGAGCGAGAATGAGAGAAAGTACATGAGAGGGGGGAGGGTCAGAGGGAGAAGCAGGCTCCTTGCTGAGCAGGGAGCCCGATGCGGGACTCGATCCCGGGACTCCAGGATCATGACCTGAGCCGAAGGCAGTTGCTTAACCAACTGAGCCACCCAGGCGCCCTGGGTGCCACTATTCTTTTAACCATCTCTAACCTCCGAACTTTCTAGGTATCCCTAGTCAACATCTTCTTTTTCCTCAACAATATAATTTCAAAACTGCTTAAAATGAAAGGAGGGTCTACACTGTCATTTTACCTTTCTCACTTTTTTTAAAAAAGTTTTATTTATTTGAGAGCAAGCGCGAGAGCAAGCGAGCGAGGGCAGGCAGATGGAGAGCAAGGGCAGGCAGAGGGACAGAATCTTAAGCAGATTCCCTGCTGAGCAAGGAGCCCAATGCGGGGCTCAATCCCATGACCCATGAGATGATGACCAGAGCTAAAATGAAGAGTCAGAGGTTCAACTGATTGAGCCACCCAGCTGCCCCTTCTTTCTCACTTTAACTCACTCCAATCTCTTTCAGTCTCACACTGTCCACTGAAGTTACTTTTCCACGGTCAGCAGTACATTCCTAATTTCTCAGGGCAATTGAATTTTCAGGCTTTGCCTTATTTGGCCTCTTGAAGACACTGACAATGTTGTCAAATTTCCTTCTTGAAACCTTCTACCGTCTTGCCTTTCAGTTCAATATTATCTCCTGTCGCTAGAGGTTCCACTCTTTTCCCTCTTTTTTTCCTCCTCTTATTGAATGCTCTTCACATCTCTCCAGGGTGTTCTTACCACTGCCAAGGGTCACCAGCATGAGCAACCTAGAAGCACAAGGTCCCTAAGTCTAGAGGTCAAATCTTGCTCCTAAGTTCCAAATCAGTATATCTAATTGCTGAGACTTTTAATTGTATGTTTGACCACTACCCAGAACTCAGTATGTTACAAATGAAATTCACGTTACAGTCTGCCTGAGTCTTCCGCCTTAACTGAATGGCAGTGTTTTCCATTTCTGCAGTCACTGGGATCCAACTTTCTGCCGGCATCTTTGACTCATAATGCACCAATTCTTACCATTTGTTGGGTCACCAAGCTCTTACTGGTTCTAATTCTTTCTCAGTAGTTCTGAAATCCACTCATCCTCTCTATTCCTTCTGACCTCATTATTTCTTGCTTAGAATTTTATAACAACCTTCTAAACAATCTCTATAATTCTAATCTACCCATCTTTCATACCACAAAAACCATGATCATTCCAAAACAAAGTTATCATGTTACTTCCCTTCTCAGAACCTTCAGTGACTCTCCATTGTCTTGAGGGTAAAATCCAGATATACTAACATGATATGATAATCTTTAACAGTGTAAATGCCATTGGCTGCAAGGAACAAAAACCAGCTTCTGGCTAACTCAAGAAAAAAAAAAGAGAGTATAGTTTATTGGAAAAATATTGGAGAAATTTATGGAATTGGAGGAATCGAACAACCAAATGCCAGGAAGAACCTGAACCAGGAGAAATCTGAGGATGTCAGGGGCAGAAGTTAAGAAACCTTAAACCGGGAGGGATGCCTGGTTAGGTCAGTCAGTAGAGCGTGCAACTCTTGATCTCAGGGTTGTGAGTTCAAACCCCACATTGGGTGTAGAGTTTACTTAAAAAAAGAAACCAGGGCTACCACTTATAATGGTGCTGATTGTACACTGTTTGTGGTGCCCCTTCTCTCTATAGGGTTATCATTAATGGGACTCAATTTAAAGACTCTCAGGCTCTGTGTCCCTTGCTTCTAGGTTCAAAATTCCTAGGAATAATATTCTGAGTGGCCACCTTGATTTCTAGACTCATGGCAGGAGCACATGGCACAGGTGTGACCATCAGAGAGTCCCTCCTGTGTATAGGACATTCGCAAAGAACTGGGAATCACTGTGAGTATATTAGTATATCTAATGGTTGTCCACCATACCTTAAATTTCTTACCTCTCAATTTTCTTTCTCTACTATTCCTCAAATTATGTCATATTTTCTGTCATGATTTATGTTATGGACCAAAAGTTTATGTATCCTCAAAATTCATATGTTGAAACCTTAACCTCCACTGTAACTCCATGAGAAAATAAATGACTATTTATGTCACCGAGTCTATGCTAATTTGTTACAGTAGTCCAAGCTAACTAAGACAGTGTGCTGCTGGCTGTCTCTCAGAATAAGTCATGCTCTTTCAGACTATCTTCTTTTTGTGGCCTGTCTAGCTTTTTCACCTACTGTTCACTGGGATTTGAATTAACTTCTTCTCTTCACCAGTACACCCTCTTTCCTTCTTCATCTTGCAAAAACTCACTCATCCGTTAAGAATCAACTCAAGGATCACTTCCTCCAGGAGGCCTTCTTTGATTCTTCCAGGCTGATTTCATATTCCTCCTGTATATCATAGCTTCCTGATCTTGACTTTATCACAGCTCTTATTGTAATTCTCTATTAAGGAATCTGTCTCTCTTACCGGTTTGTGAGATCTTTGGGATCAGGGGCTGGTGTGTTTTTTTAATCTGTATTGGTAACAGCGAGCATAGCACCCAACTCATTGTTTAACACTCAACATATATTTGTAGAACGAATGACTGAAATTCATGGCTGCCTAGTTCCATTCTCAGTCTGCATTCAACAACATACTCTCTCCAACCCTCTATGCATTGTCTTGTGACACAATTGGTTATGAATGTGTGACTCTCACTCATGAGATTATGAAAAGCTAGAAGACAATTATTTTTACCTTTTATGACATCTCACTCTGTACTTGTACATGTTAGATAGACAATACATTTTTGCTAAAGAAATAAGTATATTTGACAAAAAACAAAGCTAACACACTCTAAGCCTTATTAATAAATGTTCAGTGCAAAAAAATAGTGTTTGTACTCCTAATGGTTCTTATGTGGATCAGGTCACATCTGAAGTATTGCATTTGATTCTGGGCAACAGCTCGTATTCCTTCCTTCAGCAAATGTTTATGGAGTGCCTACTTTGTGCCAAGCACCTGTGCTTGGAAATTAAACAGACTTAGGTTTGAATTCTAGTTTTGTCATTTATTATGCATATTGGTCAGGATAGACTAGGTTTTGCTGCAGAAACAATCAATCCCAAAATATCAGTGGCTTATCACATCCAGGTTTGTTTCTCATTCATGCTGCATGTCCACCATGGATTGACTATGGCTCTACTCCAGATGGTCTTCAATCCAGGACCAGGGCTGCCTCCGTGCTGGGCTTCATGGAAAGAGAGAAAGCATGGTGAATCATGCACTGGCTCTTAAAATTCTGCCAGAAGTGACACACATCATTTTTGCTCACATGTTCTTGGTTGAAGCTTCATATGACCACATCTGGATTCACACACAGAGGAGCAAAGAGGGGTGAGCAGTAATATGATCTACCATAGTATCTGTCCTAACCTGTTCAAGTCTCTGTTTTATCATTCGTAAAATCATCATCATTATCATCATCACCATATCATCATCATCATCTCTGCATTGAAGACAGAGGTGAGGGTGTAAAATGTTTGATACATTAAAGTCTTTCAGGAAATGGTAGCTATTTTGGTTTAAAAGTTTACAGGGGTGCCTGGGTGGCTCAGTCGTTTAAGCATCTGCCTTCGGGATCTAGCCCCACATTGGGCTCCCTGCTCGGCGGGGAGCCTGTTTCTCCCTCTCCCTCTGCTGCTCCCCCTGCTTGTGCTCTCTTGCTCTCTGTTTCTCTGTCAAATAAATAAAATCTTTAAAAAAAGTTTACAGACCCTGATATTTAGCTTAAGAAATTACTGTAAGTGAAGCTCTTCAAGTACTCCAGAATAAAGTAAATTAGTTTACTCTTCTTTTGACTTTTTTTTTTAAGACCCCACTTAAACTATCTGAACTATGTTTCCAGCCCTGGCTTGCTGTTTTTTCCATCAAATGATTCTAGCCAGAATCAAAATGATCTGTGAAGAAATAAATTGGATAAAAATTCTGTGATTTATTATTCATTTTTTCATGTTCAAAGTCTATTTTCCAAACAGGATCATAAGCAACTGAGACAGAGCCATGTCTCATACCTTTTTGCATCACTAGAAACTAGCACAATTCCCCACACAGAGCATTTCTTGGTGCTGATAAAGATGTTTGGAAATGGAATTAGCACTTTATATTGTCATTTCCAGTATCCACTGATTTTCTAAATTTATAGTTACATTTTGAGATATTTATTTTTAAAAGCCTCTTATTTATTCCATTTACACATCATTTTCTATTGAATGAAGTCAGAGCAAAGAGCAGGGTTGTCCAACTTGGCGTATAGGTCAAGTTACACAAATGCTGGTAGGATTGCTTACTGGATTCACCCATTGAAAAATAAGTAGAACAACAAGTTACCACTTTTTCATTACTCTTCCTGGCATGACTGAAAGAAATTCTATATAGGTAAAGAGTTGAAAATTCTTTCCATTGAGGTAATTGATTCTAGTTCTTTTAGAAATTTGGTAACCATGAGAACTATCAAATGTGATTTAAAAAATAATGTGCACTTGGAAACATTCCAAAACGAAACTTTGAAGTAAATTATGTATCTTCCTATTTAACCTCTTAAGAAATCTCTTTTGACATGAGGAACAGGCATGATGCTTGGAAGTCACATGGGTGGCACCTTTGGAGGTTTCTCTAAACTGCTCGACCCTATGAACTGGTGTGTGCATAACCACCAGACTATCCCTCAGCAATGTCACCTTATGCAGAATACCTTTGTGACAAGGCAATGCTTTGAAAATAGGAGCAATGGTACCCAGGCTGCCATTCAAACTAATTTACTATTTGGTAAAAACAAAACAAAACAAAACAAAAACAGAGCCCACCAAGTTTGTAATCTCATTAAAAGACGCTCAATAACAATAGAAATTTTATAGGATTGGCAATGAGGATTAGAATAATGCTTTCATGCATTTTTTTCATAAGCTTAAAAAAAGGTTGCTGACAGCTGGTCTGTGTCTTTGCTAAACTTTTTAACTTGGTATTTCTAAAGTTCTAAATACCAGGGCCTAGACTGCCAAGGGAGGGAGAAGTGAAGAACCAGGTCCACAAAAGGGGAATGGATACATCCTCTCTTACCCATAGAGGGAGAAATACTGATTTGAACTAGACCTGAGTAATTTAGATTCACTCAGGTGTTCAGTCTTAATTGTTGCCTGGGAACGAAACACACAGAGAGGGAAATCATCCTAATCAGCTTACACATGACCCCCTTCTTAGTTCTCCGTCAGCATGAAGCAGTTCACAGCTTTCTGGGTTACAAGGCTTCCCCTCTCAACATCCTGTAAAAACCCTCAGGGTGTGGACACTCCCACAGCAGAAAAGAGCACTGAAAACGCTGAGGGATGGTAAGGAACTCTTGGACCCCATTCTGTCATCTTTCTTGTTCTCATCACTTTAATTTTTTTTTTTTTTTACCACGCATTAGCAAAAATGGACTATCACTTAAACCAGTGGTTCCCAAGCCTGTTGAATCATAGGACCACCCATGGAAATATTTGAAAAAGACAGGGTTCTGGGTTCTAGCACAGACTTTCTGAATCAGACTCTTTGGGTAGTTGAGCTAGGAATTTGTGTTTTTTGAGTTCCGTGATTCTGATTACCTGCCAACTTTGGGAAGGATTGAGAGGATTGTCAGGCTATGGGCTACCTTGGTCTCTACCTTTGGTAAAAGAGGTATACCTGGGTCTTGAATCATTTTGGCAATTAGAGAGATCGGGTTAGAGCTACAGCTCTCTCTCACATACACCATGCTGTTATAGATGCTGAGGAGCCCAAACCTATGGACCAGAGAATATTCCATGCAGGGGCCTCAGTGATTGCATGTCCAGCAACCTAACAGTCTTAAGCCATCACATCCCCGGGGGGAAAAAATTCCCCAACAGTGCTGCCAAGGCTGTGCTTACACTCAGAATGGATTTTCACCCAGTCTAGCTGCTTCTCATCCTACTGTTCACACTGTATAGCATTTGCCCACCTGGGGGTAGCTGGTCCCTAGTTGATTTTATCCAGAACCCTCTTTCCCTTGAGTGTTCATAACAGTACCTGCGAGAAGAATTCATTTAAAAGGAGAAGCCTAGGGGCACCTGAGGGGCTCAGTCGTTAAGCATCTGCCTTTCGCTCAGGTCATGATCCCGGGGTCCTGAGATCAAGCCCTGCCTCAGGCTCCCTACTCAGCAGGGAGTCGCTTCTCCCTCTCCCTTGGCCCCTCCCTCCCCTCATGCCCCCCCCCTCAAATAAATAAAATCTTTAAAATAAAAATAAAAGGAGAAGCCTATGCACACATGATCCAAATTCTACAGTTCCCAATGATAACACTATTATGTGTGATTGTAATTCTCTACATTCTTTCAGCTTATTTCCTGCCACCAGAGTGACGAATGCTCTGATATGTTCCTGAATTTCTGTGATGCGCTGCCATGAAGTCCTGTAACTTGTCTCACTGATGGTGTTGAACTCAGGGTTAGCTTTAAGTGCTGGGCTGTTTTCAGAAAGAGCAGCCTCTAGGTGCGTCTCCCACATGGTGCTGGCCCAGAGAGATATGATAGCACAAGGGCTCCAGTTCCTTCCCTATCATGCTGTCCTGCTTGGCAAACCTAAGGATTTAGTGCATTTTTAGAAAATTGCAGAGACTTGCTTTGGAAGGTGAGTTTAAGTGTGTGTATGCATATATCTATGTAAATATTTTATAAGTGCGGAGATGGGGCTATGTGTATGTGTATGTGTGAACTTAGGGTGCATGGGGATACCAATAAACTATAAGACACAAATTTGCTAGTGTTTCTTGTATCTCAAAGAGCAATATTATGGCCATTTTGGTATCTGATAATCATAATAGAGCACAGTTGTTACCTGTAGAGATATAATTTTTTTTAAGTAAGCTCTATGCCCAACGTGGGGCTTGAAACTCATGACCCGGAGATCAAGAGTCACATTCTCTATCTACTGAGCCAGCCAGGCACCCCATGTGGAGCTACAATTAATCCTTGAATTGGTTACCCTTCTATGTCACTGGAAGTCATTATTCAAAGTTGGGAAGATGCCTAGAAAGTCAGGACGGGTGGAGGATGTGGTAGTGGAGAACGGGGTGGAAACACCAGTTTTCTCTGCTTCTCCCACCACCATTCCCTCTGTAAGATAATTTGACAAATCTATCCCCTCCTCCCAGTTATGGAAGAGGAATGCGATAGTTAGAGGATCGGATTGCAGTTTGCAGAAAGGAATCAGGATAAGCTATAGACATTCTTTCATTCCTGAAACAACTTCCCTTCCTAATGGTGCCCCTAAGTTATTTGTTCTCTTTTTTTTTTTTTAATTTTCCTAAGTCAGGGCAAAACATTTCTCTTTTTTTAAAATTGGGATAACATATAAATAGCATAATATATGTCATTATAACCATTTATAAATATACAATCCAGTAGCATTAGATTTCTCTACTTAATGGTGAATTCCATGAGTTCACCATGCTGATTGTAGCTAGCTTATGTGGCTTCTGGGGGAGATTAGCAAGAGTGTACAAGTCAAAACCCTAGAAACCTCCAACCTTTCCATCTTCCTCTACAGGTTTCTTAATAGTTTGCTCACTTTTCAATTCAAGGGACTTTTACTGAAGGAGGTTTACCTGTAAAAGGCTATGCCAAGTTGGATGGGAGATACAACACTGCAGACCATCTCCTGTCCCCCAAGGACATCTGCTGGAGAAGAAAGCCAGACCGAAAAACTAATCATCAAACAAAATACAATGTAAACACAAAAGAAAACAGCCAAGTGCTAAAAGGTAGAAGAAGAAGGACGAATTAGGACTAACTGGGGGAGATTAGGAAACAAAATTTCTAAGGGAGGAGAAGGGTGGTCCTGGCAGAACACAGGAAAGAACAGTGCTTGACATATAGTAAGTGCTCAATAGTTATTGAATAGGTGAATGAAGTGCAAATGTGAATGAATAAATGAATGAGAGCCAAATCTGAGGAAAGACTGGGAACTGTGAAAGCATAAGGAAACTGATGAATGATGTGTCGTAGCTGGATGTGGTCAGGGTGTACGGTGGGGAGTCGTATCAAGAGGATAGGAGACAGATGCCTGGCTGGCTCAGTCAGTAGAGCAATTCTTGTAAGTTCAAGGCCCACGTTGGGTATAAAGAGGATTTAAAAAATAAAAACTTAAAAGAAAAAGATGATAGGAGAAAAAGTAGGATCATATTAGGGAAACCTTGGCCCCAAAGAGCAATTTTCGCCAAATTCCCATCAGAATAAATGGAAAGGAAGACCCTAAGGGAAAGACAATAGCTACAGTGAAAGTCCAAGTCCACTGCACTCTTAAGAGAAGGCCGTCAGGACGCTGGGGTGAGAATGGGGGTGGAGGTGGGGTCCAAGAATTAAGACAAAATTCAGACCACAGGGGAGATTCTATGAAGATATTTATTCAGGGAGTCATAAAACAGTGAAGCAACAGCATGCATTTGACAAACAGGAATGAAAGGCCTACTCAGGCCGTCCCTGGGGCCACAGAGTGGCTGTGGCGTCACTTCCATCATGGTGTCCATTCTACTTTGAAAGACAGAAAGGGGGGCGCCTGGGTGGCTCAGTCGTTGGGCGTCTGCCTTTGGCTCAGGTCATGATCTCAGGGTCCTGGGATCGAGCCCCGCATCGGGCTCCCTGCTCCGGGGAGGGGCCTGCTTCTCCCTCTCCCGCTCCCCCTGCTTGTGTTCCCTCTCTCGCTGTCTCTCTCTCTGTCAAATGAATAAAATCTTAAAAAAAAAAAAAAAAAAAGTAAATCCGTGATTTGGATCGGCTCTGAAAGTGTTGTAACAGAGGTTCTGTGCTAAGTGAAATGGCATAGAGTAAAAGGAGAGAGTAGGGTCAGCCCTCTGGGGTCAGGGAGAAACCTCACCGACAGGTGACATTGGAAACTCCTCTTTGGAGCATAACGTACAAGGGCGTCAGTCAGAGAAGAGAGGCAGGCGATCCGGGCCGAGAGGGTAGCAGAGACAAAGAGGGGCATGAAATCGCAGGGCGAGTGAGGCACTGCTTCATACCATAAGCAGCTGCTCACTAATCTACGCAGAGATATTCAGACTTCTAGAGATTAACCATCTGGAGGACCCTCACAGCTGCTCTTTGAGAACCACGGTGTTAACGGACAAAAGGAAATCATGAGAAACAGCGAACATGGCCAAATGGTCAAAGAAGCCGGAAAGTAGGACGCTGCTGTGAATGCTAGCCGGATTAATAACAAGTGGTGAGTCAACTTGGTGTGTTACAAATGTACGTAGTAATTAGACTACTTTGGTTCCTTACAAATGCAGATTGATCAATATCATTACCGTCCTATCGCTTGCACATCAGAAGTTAGTATCTTTCCTACTGGTCCCATTTGTGCCTTTACCCCATAAGCTTGAATTCAGTACTCATCGCTCCACTTCCTCGAGGGCCTATGACAAGGGAAGGCAGCAGTTCTCCCAGGTGAGCAGCCTGATGCTGTGAAGGCTGGAAGCATTTGCTCCCATTTATTGACTGCTGGGCTGGTCCAAAACCCATCTTTCCAGGCTGGCGTGCCTACTTAGTAATTAAAGTGAGGTTTTTATATGGCTTAAAATATTTTAATGTGACTGTTCCCTGAAGGTCCACAGCAAAGTTTGGTTTAATAAATTTAATAACTAATTAAGACACCCTCAATTTCAACCTCCATTAGGTTAATTTTTTAATGAGTTTCAGAATATCTCTCAAGACGTTTCTTCCCTAGATGTGGTGAGAAACACACACATGCACGCATGCACCCCAAGGATGGATTTGAGGCTTTGGTATGCCAGGCACTAGCTGTGTAACTTCAGGGAAAATCACTGAACCCCTTTTGGCTGCCTTTTCCTTATCTATAAAGGAAAAGGTTTGGACAAGGTTTTCAAATTCCCTTCCATAGCTCGGAGGACCATAGGGGAAGGGAGAGAAGACTAAAGGGGGAGAAATCAGAAAGGGAGACAAACCATGAACCATGAGAGACTCTGGACTCCGTGAAACAAACTGAGGGTTTCAGAAGGGACGGGGGTGGGGGGACGGGGTAGCCAGATGATGGGTATTAAGGAGGGCACGTGTTGTGATGAGCACTGGGTGTTATAGGCAACTAATGAATCATGGAACACTACATCAAAAACTAATGATGTACTCTACAGTGGCTAACTGGACATAATAAAAACAAAAACCAATAACCAAATTCCCTTCCAATTCTTACCTTTTATTAAGTCCACAGCAGAATGGCTGTTCTCAGTACTTCCCCTTTAAGGGAAGCAGAGGATCCTAAACTGTACAAAATACACTGTGTGTGTGTGTGTGTGTGTGTGTGTGTGTGTGTACGAATGAACCTCAAACCATCTCATGGCTTTGTGCAAGTAGCAGAATTAGGAATGGGGATGTTATCCGTGTACAGAAAAATTCCTTAGAAGATATTATTAACTGGCCAATAAACATAAAATTTGAAGACAATTTGGAGTTACCAAGATGTATTTATTTTCCCCAGAGTACTTAACCCCTCTGCTCCCGGGAACTTGGGTTGTTTTCCCTTCCAGTGCTACATCTTGGAGATGGAGAAGAATAACTCTAACCAACCCTCCAGTAGGGATTGTAGGGAAAAGCAAATCACCAGCCTGCTCTTTTGTCTTCCTTCTCCTCTCTCCTTGTCTGGCAGATCACACTGTGGAATATTTACCTTGATGGGGGAAGGAGGAGAGAATTTCAAAGAAAGGGAAAGAGGAAAATTAAAATATTAACTATTTCATGGCACAGTGGGCCGGTCCTTCTTCCCAGGTAGACTTGGGGAGTATAGTCTTATTCACACATATGCATGCATGCATGCACGTGCACGGTAGAATAAAATGCAGAATCAGATCTACCTAGCACCTACAAAAATAAATGGTACTTTAAAAAAAATAACTATTTTATAATTTGTTTAAAATCCTAGTCAAAATGAGCATTTGCTTTCACCTTGAGCAGTAATTGAGGGGAACACGATCTGAAGAAAAACAAGGTCTGAGCTGTCTCATTCAGCATAGCCAAATGTTGATTATCCAAATCCATGACAAATCTGCCTTTCAGTTTCTTTGTGACATGACTCCCTCCCCCTGCATATTTAACTCATCTTTAAGAATGAGAAGTTGGCTTGTTCTCCAATTTCTTCAGAGCTGGATCTTCCCCGAATAGCAACATTATTTTATTTAAAGTCCACTGAATTCCCAGAATTCTAGAAACATCCATATTCAAATGTTAGAATAAAAACACATTCCAAAGTAAGACGAAAAAGTGCACTCTGCTCTAAAGCATGGAAAAATTAAGAGTTGGCTGTTTGGGAAAGTTCCTGCTGCGTCAAAACCAGTTGAAAGCATTGCCTGTCTTCATTTTTAGTATTCATAAAGGCCTCAGTAACAAATTTTGGGGTCATAGCTATGGGAGTTAAACCCACTAGCTGGTTAGTGCCAAGACTCATAATATTCACTAAAGTTAGCTGGCCATTTATAATGCTCAGGAACAGGGTGATGAATACTACAAAAAAGAAAAGGAGAAACATACAGAGTATTTTTTCCCAATATATCAATATTAGGAACAACAGCAACAATAGAAAATTGGGACTCAGGAATTTCTAGTACCTATATTATATCTTTAAAAAATCTCTAAAAATCAATTCTATGTATGAACAGTTATAGCTTAATGTGATCATTTGATGCCTTTATCAGATTGTCCCTATGAGATCATCTTACTCATATTTCTATAGCCTAATAAGATACTCCTCTCCCTATACTCTCTGAAGAGACACATGAAATAATTTAATATCCAGAATGGTGTCCAGAACTTTTTTTAGGTTGAAAATCCTCCTGCTGGGCTCATGGCTCTGCTTCTACCCAAATGCCCTAATTTGGAATGAAAGATGAAAAATCCCGGGTCTTTGGAATGTCAGAGAACTGAAAACCCAATAATTGGACTAATTTTTTTTTTTTTTTTAAGTTCAGTGTGGGGCTTGAACTCACGACCCTGAGATCAAGACCTGAGTTGAGATCAAGAGTCAGATGCTTAACCGACTGAGCACCCAGGAGCCCCTGGACTAATTTTTAAAGCAGAATCAGGAAATTGGAAACCTTCTGCCACTCCAGCATTTCTTTTTCTTTCTCATTGCCTTCTAAAACTCCCTCTCTTATATGTTCCTCCTCCTTTACCCTTTTGCTTTTCCAGCTTCTAAGTTTTGCCAGCTGGCACTCAGTGACGCTATTGGACATAGTTTAAACCAACGCGGGGGCTAAGAAGACCGCCAACCATCTGTCCAGAACCCGGAGGCAGGAAGAGTCTTGCTTGTGCTTTACTAGGCTTGATTTATACACAGGTGCTGCTCTTTTGCTATGTAAAGCATGCCTGAAGTAAGCATGCAAGCATGACCCATCCAAGTGTCTCATTTTTATCCTGTTGCCTAACAAGGAGGAACTCCTGACCGTTCTTCAGCATATTAGGGCAACAAAGTTGACTTCCACACAACAGCCTATCAAACAAACCAGTGGCCCTATATGGGAATGATGGGAAGGTAGTAACTGTGGTAAACATCCCTAAAACCAGTTAGATTTTTCCTTCCCTCTTGGTAGGATGTTTGTAAATGTAGTCATGGCAATAAACACAGAATAGCTGCCTGGAAAGCTTATAAAACAACTTCAGAAATCCTCCCGACCAGCAGTTTCTAAACATAGTTCATGCACATCAAAATCACTTGTGGCGCTTGTTAAAAAATTGGATTCTCAGACACTTAACCAAGACCTTCTAAGTCACGATCTTTAGGATCAGGGCCCTACAGTGCTATTTCAAGTATCTCATATCCAGCCAGGTTTCAGAACTCCTGCTAGGCCGATCCACAGTTCCCCACTTACTCTACTGGCTGTTCTCTGGGGGAGCGGACAGCCACTGAGAGTGGGCGCAGTGCTTCTTAGGGTAAGGATTCAAAGCAAAATCGGAGAAACTAAGATCCCTTAAAATAAACTGGTGATTTTTTTTTTTTTAAACAGACCCCCAGGCGACATTGTCAAGCCCTGGCCATGAGAAATTTACACTGTAAAGAGCCTGACTTTCACACTAATGGAGCCTGCACAGCAAGCTCAAGCCACACTCCAGCTATTGTTATTCAAATAACCTTTGTGGGAGCACCTGGCTGGCTCAGTCGGTAGGGCATGGGACTCCTGATCTCGGGGCTGTGAGTTCGAGCCCTGCCTTGGGTGCAGAGAGGACTGGGAAATAAAATCTTTAAAAAAACAAAAACAAAACCACAAATAACCTTTGCTCCTGGAGAGTGAGCTAAGTGGTAGGAGCATAGTGTTGACACTGGATCATTGGCCCATTCTGCCAGAAGCCCCCTGATTCCTCAGGTCAGATAGTTGCCCTTCCTCTAAGTCCCCTTGCTACCCAATCACCGCCCCTATCATATAGCACTTATACAGTAGATTCACACAATAACCGGCTATTTACATGACTTTTTTTCCCACTGTAAACTCCACTGTAAACTAAGGTATCTGTTACTACAATTGTCGGTACCCCAGCAGTAAGTACTCACCCAGTGTTTGCTGAATGAATGAATTTGTATTTTAGATGGTTCCAACTTGGTTAGAATTTTCTCTGCGGGATTCCAAATGCATTTATTTTGAAGAGCAACCCACGTGCTTCACAATTTAAAACACTGTCTGTTCCACCTGAGAACAGCAAACAAACAATATTCACAGAGGTTAGGCCCACCTGCCAGTCCAGGTGGCCTGACTTTGTAAATGAAAGTCTTGTTGGAACACAGTTACACCCTTTCATTTACCTTATCGTTTATAGCTGCTTTCACGCTGCAACCACAGGATCAAGTAGTTGCCACAGAGAGACAGAGACTGTATTTCCCCACAAGAAGCCCCAAATATTTATGATCTGGCCTTCTACGGAAGGGTTTGCCAACTCTTGCCCTGGAGTTGGGCGGACCTGTGTGACATTGGGCACATTGCTCAGCTTTTCTGAATTTTGGTTTTCTCATCTGGATAATGGGGATAATAATGGTGTTCTATCTTATAGGGTTTTGCTTGGAATATATGGGATAATCCTTGTAAACCTGAACATACTCTGTGTTCAGCAAATATTAGCTGTTACTTTTATTACTTTGCCTATATTCCCTCTTGTCTTTTTTCGGCTACTCCTCATCTGCCTTAAAATTTTTAATAAAAATAAAGCCAGAGCATTCTCTAGCTTTAGAAGCTTTGCCATTTGAAAGAACTTTGGGTTCAACCACTCTTTGATGATAAACTGCCCCGCTCTTTAGAACAAAGACTTAAATAAGTCTTTATTTCTATAAAAAAATTTAAAAAATCCAAGACAAGATCTTTGGGTATTTAATAAACATGCTTTGCTATGAGATGCTTGCTTTTGCACAAGCTTCAATCATAGGAGACAGAAGAGGGGCTTGACCTCACACACATCTATCCCCCAGTTTGGTATCTGTCTTACATGTTATTCCATTGCCTTTAAAATCAGACACCCATAACACTTCTATTAAATGTCCTGAAAAAATGCAGAGGTGGGGGGTGGAGTACTAAGTACATCGAATGGTTTTTTGTAGTGAAAAGGTCTGAGTGATAAATAGGAAACCAAGCCAAGAATCTCTAAAGGCATCTTTTACTTAACTTGGAGCCCTCATTTCTGGAAAGCCGGCTGACCACTCCTGTTAAAAAGTCCTTTCATCAAACAGATGTCCTGCTGAGTGGACTGTAGCTCATGGAAAGGAGGACAGCTCTCTGACTCACCTAACGTCTTATTTATTAATTTCTTTTTCTGATTGTGGAGCTCAAGTGGAATTTCAGTTTTTCCTTTAGCATTCAAGATTTCTGAAGTCTTGGCATTGACCAAGACTCTGCCCTACAGGAATTTGCAGCAGTAGACAACTCCTACTTTGACTTCTTTCTGTACTCTTCTACCCATCTGTGGGGTTACCTGCTTGGGCACGGTGGCTAACTGCCCAGAGCAACAGGAATTTACAGTTTTTGTTAATGTACAAATCTATGCTCTGTAAGTGGGACTGTAGTGTGGACTTGTATAGTTGGGAGACTCGTGTGTTGGGTTAGAATCGATTTAGATTCAAGAAATTTCTTTGGGAATTTTACCCTGAACTCCCAGGGATAAGCTCACTCAGCTCTTGTGTCAGTCCAGGTCCTCCAAGAAGCAGTCACCAAGAAGGAATTAGGCATGTCTGAAGTTTACTGGGGGCAGAGCCCACAGAGGATATAGGGGGCTAGAGAGTGAGAGGAGGCAGAAGAGCCTTCCAATTGTGATGTAGGTCTAACACATATGAAGAGAGAAGGGGAAGGAGAACTGTCCAGTAGCTCTACTCTGAGCTGAGACAAGAAGAGAACGCTCATGTTTGGCAGAATTGGCCTAGCTCTAAAACACCCCCAACTCAGGCGTTGGCTGGGACCAGCCTGGCATGACTGTGGCCACAGGGTGAACATTGGGACATATCCAAAGGTGTGAGAGCTGGCCTTACATCTGGTTCTCTTAAAGGGAGAACTGAATGACACACTTCTGTGGCCACCATCGTCCACTCCTACTGCCTCACAAGGCATCCATTTCAGACAAGTTCAAACAGCAGATCATCCATGGTTCCTATAGTCCCCTCTTCCTGAGGAGCAACTTAGAAAAAGGAGGTTAGTGGGACAAGCTATTGTCCCACCTCTGTACTTAGTTTTTGAGTCAAAACTGGCACTCACCCTCTCCCTCCTCTACTATCCATTCTAGATCTCCCTCATCCTCTACCTTTACTTCCACAAGTATTGGTGGCTCTCCTGGGTAGTTGAACCCAAACCCTCATTCCTGAGGGGTCTTCATATCCTTCCTGCACTGGGGTTGCTGTATGTGCTCATTCAGTTATAGTTGGGTAACAGATTACCAGGAGGTATCCAAGTACTTGTTTTCATTCCTGCCCCCATTGTGTAAAAACAGCCCCATCTCTCTTACTGATCAAGGTTAATTGTTCCAGATTTTACTCTTTGTCAGCTGGTGTCTGGACACAAAAGTTTTGAAGTATCCAGGTGGCGGTTGTACCTTGTAATTCAGTGGGACTCCTTGCTCTGTTTCATGGCAAGGGAGCATTCCTTTGGGAACCAGGACTTCTAACTATGCACTTCTCAGAATTACCAGGGTAAGTCATTGGGAATAATGGCAAGAATACTTCTGCTTCCATCCTTAATATTATTCTTAGAGGGGATACAGGCCATAAAGGGGTCTCTAAAAGACACGGTGTTCTGAAGGATGGCACTCCATCCTGTAGGAATTGCCACCAAATTGGCACCTCAGCTATACCTTCACTAGGCCATCCCAATGCTTTAATAACCATTGCCTGGGAATATGTATTGTGAAAGGCAGTTTCTGTGATGGCTCCCGATGATCCCCACCTAATGGTGTCCATGCCCTTATGTAATTCCCTCCCCCTGGAGTGCGGCTGGACCTAATGACCTACTTCCCACAAAGAGAATACAGCAAAAGTAATGGGATATCACTTCAGATATTAGTTACAAAAAGACTAGCTTCCATCCTGCTCACCCTCTTATACTCTTACTTGCTCGCTCTCATGAAAGCCAGCTGCCATGTTCTAAGTTATCCTATAGAGGCTGATGTGGCAAGGAACAGAGGAACTCTGGCTATAAGGCAGTAAGGAGCTGAGGTCCTCAGTGTAGCATCCTGTAAGAAACTGAATCATGGGGTGCCTGGGTGGGTCAGTCTTTAAGCGTTTGCCTTCGGCTCAGATCATGATCCCGGGGTCCTGGGATCGAGCCCCACGTCGGGCTCCCTGCTCCGCGGGGAGCCTGCTTCTCCCTCTCTCCCTGCTTGTGTTCCCTCTCTCGCTGTGTCTCTCTCTGTCAAATAAATAAAAAATCTTAAAAAAAAAAGAAAAGAAACTGAATCCTGAGAACAACTACGTAAGTGAGCTTGATTGCAGATCCTCCTTCAGTGGGGCCTGGAGATGAATCCACCTTGGCTGACGTCTTAGTCGCAGCCTTGTGAGAAACCCTGAGCCAGAGGGTCCAGCCAAACCACACCCGGATTTCTAACCTACAGACACTGTGAGATATGTGTTGTTTTAAGCTGCTAAGGTAATTTGTAATGTAGCAATAGATAAGAAATATACTTTCCTATCTTGGGACATTTCTCCTTCTTCACAAAGAAGAAGGCATGCTGCTTTCTGCTCTGTCCATTGGAAAGATTTTCTTTCTTCACTTTCTTTCAAGTCCACCCTGAGAGTGGCTGTAATGTAGCTGCTGTCCATTTTTGGCTTGCTCACATATGCGAAGTCAACCCATCCAAAACTCAGACTCAGGCTTTGTCCTGTTTAAGCTGGTCATACAGGGACCCCCATAGGTAGGTGAAAATTGAGGGGGAAATGCTTTTGTAACTGTTGTTGGTGACATGGGGGCCTGGACTACCTGCTCATGAAGCTAAGTTGTGCCTCCCGGTGTTGCCTGCGCTCAATCCTGGATATACTACCTCCATCTTTTAATCTATCACTGATGGATCTGTTTGACTTTATAAATTGATGGCACCAAAATAACCTAACTCATCACAGGTAGGTCTAGGTACTTGGTATTCCCTGGTCAAACAGTTCAGGTCTATAGGGCTCAGTAACATGTCAAGAACTCTGTTTAGCTATAGATGGCATGACCATGCTCCAAAACTCCAGAAGCCTACCTTGTGATTCTCCCAAAGAGCCTGACCATAAACTCTACTTTTCCACCACTGACAACTTGACCATCATAGATCTCATGGCCCAAGCAGCTCAGCCACTTATATTGGACTGGGTATAAAGCCCTTTTCTGCTCTGGGTCCCACTCGAAGCTGGTAGTCTTCCAGAATACCAGTTTATGGACTAACACAATATTTAGGTGTAGAATGTGTTGCTTCCAGGACCCCAAAGTGTTATCGGTCACAGTGCTTCCTTCCTTGTAGCAGATGTAAGATGCAGTAATATGTCTCTTACTTTGAAGGCATATCCCAGCACCCCACCCCATCTCCGACCACTGGACCCTGGAAACTGTACTGAAGTGGCAGATCTCTGAATCTTCATAGGGCTTCTTTCCCACCTGGTGGAGCACGCACACATCTTACCCACGTCTCCAGTATGCTAACTACCTCTTGTTTCTTTTGCCTGATCAGCATGATGTTATCAATGTAATAGTGTTCTGAGAGAAGTCCAGCTCTCTGCTTCAGACTATATTGTGATAAGTGGGATAATTAGCATAACCCTGGAGCAAAACTGTAATGTTGTTTTTTATCCCTTGGCTTTCTCCATCTCCAACTTTCAAGTCTGTTAATCTCAATTACACACTTGAGAACAAGGGAAATGACCCCCATTTGGATCCATGGGCCCAGTGGACTCACTGAGACTGGGCTTTATCCAGGACTCTAATTATAAGCTCATGCACCTACCTATTATTTACTCGTTGTTTTTATGTCTCCTCAACTAGAATATAAGTTCTTTGAGAGCCACAGCTCCATAGGTTTTAGTCGCTGCTAACCTCCTACACCTTCCACAGTGCTGGCACATAGTAGGTGCTCAACATTTAACAAATCGATTGCATTATTATTCCAATTTGCATTGTTTTAGTTATGAGTAAGATTGTTTTCCTTGTTCTATAAGCTCTTTCCCTCACTGTCATCATTGTCATTAAAT